GGTTGCCTGTGGACCAGGTGAAGTCAAAATGATCGGGTAACCTAGACCACAAATCATGAGGTAAATTGATATTAAGAGCTAATGATTTAGATGCGTTAACTCGTAGTCCAGAGACTCCAGCGAATTGATTAAATAGTGTCAGGACATTAGGGAGCGTAGTCAATGGAGAAGTAATAAACAAGAGCAGATCATCCGCAAATAGAGCGCACTTATGTTCCTGTCCACCACAACCCACCCCATTAATGTTTACGTTATCACAAATAGCAATAGCCAAAGGCTCAATGGCTAACGCGAAAAGCAGTTGGGACAGCGGACAACCCTGACGGGTGCCCTTAAAAATATCTATCGGATCAGACAGGTGGCCCTGTAGTTTAATTTGTGGTGATAGAGCGGCATCTAGTGCCTGCAGCGTGCTCAGAAAGAGGGGGCCAAAACCCCATTTCTCTAGCAATGGGAATAGATAATGCCAAGACACTGAATCAAAGGCCTTCTGCAAATCAATAGATAGCAGAAGGCTGGACTGTGGCCGACTGCCGTCCCACCCCGACTGCAACAATGTGACAACGTCAATTGTCCATCTGATGTGATCGGGGCCTTGCCTACCCACAATGAAACCCACCTGATCTTTATGAATATAGAAGGTTAAAAAGGAGCTCAGTCTATTAGCAAGAACTTTAGTTAGGAGTTTTAAATCATTATTTATTAAAGAGATTGGTCTATAGAAATTTCCCCTGGGTCCTTATTGGGCTTGGGAATAACCGTAAGATATGCTTGATTTAGATCTAAGTATAAGGTTCCCCCCTGTTCATTGAAGAACTTCACCAAATGAGACACCAGAACATCCGATAATTTTTTATAATAGGAAGCTGGCAGTCCATCCGGACCAGGGGCCGACGACAATTTTGCCTGCTTGATAGCCTTTTTAATTTAAAGTGCTGAGATAGGTTCTTCCATGAACGTTGAATGATCTGGAGACAAGGATGGGCGGTGAACCTCATTTAGAAATGACCCCAACAAATCTGAAGAGACAGGAGTATTATCCCGATAAAGCTTAGTAAAAAATGAGTGAAACTCCCGAAGGACAGTATTCGGATGTAAAAAGTATGCGCCAGAGGTACATCGGATTTTAGGGAACTAATATATTCTAGGTTTAGGGGACAGTTTAGTAGCTAAAAGGGTGCCAATTTTATCTTTATGTACGTAAAATGTATTAGCTGACCATCTAATGCTTTTTTCTGCTTTAGTAGTCAATAGGAGATTTAGTTCCAATCTAGTCTTATCAAGGGACTTCAAGAGATCCAGTGATGGGGTTTGTTTATGGGCCCGAAAAAGACGTTGAAGTTCCATGTCCAGTTCATTTATGCGCCTGGTTGCATTTTTAACATTTCTGGTGGCATGTTCAATGGAACGGCCATGAATAGTCGATTAATGGGCCGCCCATAATATAGTAGGGAACATATCAGGAGTAGCGTTAATAGTGAAATAAGATTCCAAATGGGATTTGATATCTCCCTGCATCGCCACATCACCTAAAAGTGATTCATTTAAGCGCCAGCAAAAAGGTTTAGTGGCAGGTGATAGCGTATTGAGTCCCAGTAACACCAGGGAGTGGTCAGACCACACTGTCTCCCTAATGTTGGAGAATGAAACCAGGGGCACAAGAGAAGTGGAGACAAAGAAGTGATCTATCCTAGCATAACTTTGATGTGCCTGAGAGAAGTGCGTAGAATCTTTCACTGTGGGGTTCATTTCCCTCCAAATATCTATTAAGATAATGTGAGTGAGAATATAGCAATTTTGCCAATCCAGTCCTGGCTTTCTGGGGGCGTCGAGACCTATAGGCTCCAGTTTTATCACAGGGCCTTTGAAATGAGGTAGTAAGGTTGTAACATGGAACTAAAGAATGGAACCTTGGCTGAATTGGGGGCATAGTAGGAGAGAAGTATAACTAAGGTGTCATTCAAATGCCCTTTCAAAAGTAGATAACGCCCCTCTGGATCCCTTATCTCCAGCAACGAACGAAATGAGGTATTCTTGGCAAAACAGATGGCCACCCCTCTAGTCTTATCAGAGGAATTGCTCAGAAAAAAGTTAGGGTAATGTTTATTTAGGAAGGATGGGGGATATGATGCCGGGAAATTAGTTTCCTGTGGAAAGAGAATCTCCAGCCTTTGAGAGTAATAATATTGAAGAGCCATTTTTCTCTTTGCTGGAGAGTTTAGACCCAGAACATTGTGAGACCAATAGCAAGCTGGCTATTGCACCCGCCCTCTACTGCTGTCAATCACTAGAAGAGGACCTGATGCAGAACATCAGGTCCCCCCTCTGCTGATTGACAGCAGCAGTGGGCGGTTGCAATAGCTAGTTTTCTATTGGCTAATGCAAAGTGAAATCGCTAATAGGAATCTAGCTATTCATTCCCATGCTGTTTTGTTTGTTTTTTCTGACTGACGGCGGCCGGCGGCTCCGATGTCAGAAGCAAAAAACAAACAAACAGAGCAGGGAAAGGTTTACTCTGCTCGATTGAGCAGAGTAAACCTTTTCGGGACAAAGTGTTCCTCTCCCGGGCGGCCGGGAGCCGCTATGTAATAGCGGGAGACTCCTGGAACGTCCGGGAGAGTTGGGATGTCTGGTATAGACTCAGACATCCCAACTGCAACGCAATAAACTCAGAACTCTGCAATGCAATGGAGTCTACAATACAGATTTTTGACCCATAAGTCTATATTATATGTAGAATGCATATGTTGAAAATGCAATGCAATGCACCATGCAGCAAGTGTTCGGGTCCATGCAATATAAATGCAATATGGATTTTACTAATTTAACCACATACTGGTACATTTATTCTGAACTATTTTTTAAATCATACAATACGATTTAAATTAAAAATCTTATTGTATGATTTATAAGGTGGTACAGAACAAATGTAGCACCTTATGGTTATATCAGTAAAATCGGTAGTGCATTTACATTGCATGCCCCCAAACACTTGCTGCATGGTGCGTTGCATTTTTAACAAATGCCTCTGTGTATATTATATGTGGAATGCATATATTGCAAATGCAGTACACCCTGCAGCAAGTGTGCGGGGTCATGTAATGTAAAAGCAATAACGATTTTACTAATATAACCATGTATTGGTACTAGGGGCATAACTAGAAATCACAGGGCCCCATAGCGAAATTTTGTTTGGGGGCCTGTGATTTCTAGTTGCACCCCTTGCAGAGCCCACCATAGACTCTCTTTAGTGCGCTCTGCAGGGTCTCAGGTGGGCCGGTCACACCCCTTGCACACCTCTTACCTGTCAGCCCCAATCCGCTGTCAGCTTCCTCCACCGCTGGGCCCCGCCTCCTCCCCCTCCATGGTCGCCGGTGGGCCCCGTATCCTCTACCGGGCCCTGCCTCCTCCTCGACTGCCGACGTTGGCTTCCTCCGCCGCAGCTGCTGGCTGTTACGAACTCAGCAGCGGCTGTGAGGAGGAACGCGCCACTGCACAGATCACTGACAGGTTGTCAGTGAACTGAACAGCGGCGCATTCCTCCTCACAGACGCCAGTGACAGCCAGCAGCGTTCAATGCCATAACGACCCAGGCAGCCCGCACAGTATCAGGGGGACCCCTTTGTTCCTCGTCCTGGCTGGGCCCCCCTGTGCCCCATAGCTGCCTCATGGGTTGCAATGGCGATAGTTCCGCCACTGATTGGTACATTTGTTCTATACTACTTGATAAATAATGCAATACGATTTTTATTTAAATCTAATTGTATGATATATCAGGTAGTACAGAACATGGATAAATTAGTAAAATCTGTATTGCAATTACACAGCATATTACTAAACACATGGACTGAATATACATTTCAGCACATGTTTAGTGATATGCCTGTAAATACAACACAGTCCAGAATCTTCCTCCCCACTCCTGCTCCCAGACCCCAGCCTGTGTGCTAAAGACAGATGTAAAGTTAAATACATATAAGTGTAAATAAAGATGTTTTTTTTCAGATTTACCTGTGCTGTCTGGCTGTACCCTCCCCTCCTTCTCTTCCGTGTCTGCCGGATCTCTGTGACAGGCAGTGGCGGACCTAATAACCAAAGGGCCCTGGTGCAAGATTTTATCTTGGGCCCCCCTCCCAAGATGGGGGGGGGGGGGG